TCTCTCTCTCTCTCTCCCCCCACACACACACACACACACACACACACACTCACACACTCTCTGTGACCTTTAACCTCTGACCCAAACACTGTGATGCCCAGTCAGAGGCCACAAACAGCACAACTCTGCCACACTTTTAGCACAGGCCCGTGGTAAATGTACGCGTACATGAGCTCCAAAATGCAGTGCGGGCCTTGTAAAGAGGGCTGATCTGAACTGCTGAGTCACTGATTCAGAACTTCTCAGTAAAAATCAACTAAAAGCCAAAAACTTTATGAACTACTGGGGACAGATGTGGCTTGTTTGAAAGTGAATGAATGAATGAATAGACCAATTCTTGCTTATAAACCAGTTACTTGCTTTTAAGGCCCCATTTGAAATGATTAGAAGTTGTAGATTATTACTAACACGACCAGCAGTTCCATATCAGCTCTCTTACTTTGACAGGTTTGATAAATACAGGTAGTGTGGGTGATCTGATGAAGAGGGGGCAAAAGCAGAACAAACACGTTTATGTCTTTTTATGTCGTTTTACGTTATGTCTACCCGGCAGATATGATGGCTGCATTCCCACTTTGACTGTAATTCAATGGGAAATCAGAGCAGGAATAACGCACATCCCTGCCCACCGATTCCTGATTCAGAAAGGGGTATGTCCATGAAAACATCCAAAATCCAGCAAACATCTGGAACTTTCAACTGCAATGTTTTTCCTTTTAGTCGGCTCATGTAAACACTGTTTAAAAGTGAGCTCATACTTTAGGTGTGAGAAGCCACGGTCTAAAATTTTGTTTCCACACTACTCATATAATCTGTGCATATATGTAAATATGATTATTTGTGATTGAGATAGAAAAGAAAAAAAAAAAAATCCAAAACCTTTATGTGCCTATGAAGAGTTTGTCCTTGCCCACAAATTACACAGTTTTGTGGGCAACGATCATTAGCTTCCTATCTTCAATAGAAACCCAACAATAACATTTATTTTCATGCCAACAGTCATTTGTGGAGGAAAGTGTCAGTGTTTTAGGCTGTCTCAATCTGGAATAAAACTCTTCATATACACAATATAAACAAACATTTTGTGAAGTAAATATAAGCCAGACTGACAGAAAAAAAAGAAGTTGTTAATTGTATCCTCAAATAAGTGCGAGGAGTATAAAACACCAATTTAACTCCACAGATCTAGCCACTGAAACATTGTCCTGTATGGCAAGGACACAGACAGAAAACAGTTGACACATTATATGTAAATCAAGCTCAACACACTCACTGTGGAGACAGAAAATAAACACATTCAAAAGCCATGTTCTAAAACTTCAGTGCCCAAAGACAGAATTTGGCATTGACAAATCCATAACAAGAGAACAAAAACAATAATAAACAGATGAGATATATGTTGAATAATATGTGACAAGAAAGAGCTATGAAATGAACCGGGTGTATATAGATGCTACCGTCCAGTTCTCCCCAGTCAAACCCACAACACTTTGTTGATTTGGATTTTGGCATTCGGTTGCTTTGTGCTGGGGTGAAAACAGAAAAATACGTGGAGGTGGTCATATGTAGAAACTCCATTAGATGTGTGTACAGGGAGAGAGCGACATGTTTGTCCCCAGTCAGTCGTTTCTCTCTTCCATAAGCTCTCAATACGAGCCTGTGAAGTCCAGTCCGGTCCCGGGATGTCCCAAAAAAAAAAGAAAGGGGGGGCCCAAAAGCAGAAACCGAGGGTTCAATATGCCAGAATAGCGAAGGCACACAATCAGAAATATGAATGTAAGACTTGTCCCTCTCTCTCTCCAAATTCGATCCAGTTTGATCCGGCTCGATCCTGTTTTTTTCCAGGCATGAGAAAGTGCTAGAACATGCGAGACAGATTTGTGTTTGTGTATGGTCACCATAGAAACATATCAACATTTAAAAAGTCCATTTTTATATGTTAACAATTTTAAAATACACAGGGTTACTCCCTACGACTGCATTGATAATCGGTCTGTGGTAAGTGCATCTCAAAGCTAGTCACCCAAAGCTCCACTGGCTGTACCTTAGGTATAAACTGACGATAGGTTGGTTATAGGATAATATATTGACATGAATAATGGTTTTACAACAACAGTAAAGTCTTTTTTTTCAACTGCTATAAATACATTTCTTTGAGAGGTTTCACAACGATCAAACCGTATGCCACTGTTTGTACGCTGAAATTGAATGACACACTCAACTGTGTTATAAAAACACACACGCTCCTTCAACTACACACACTCGCAAGAGTCACAACTTAGTTTGTACACATACAGGCACATGTACTTTGCAGGGCAGAGGCCAAGCGCACTTATACACACATGCACGCACGCACGCACGCACACCACAGACATAAAGGCACAAGGTATTGCTAATGTTGAGGACGCATTGAAACATGATCTATCCAGACATGTATAAATGACCCCTTTCACCCATGCATCCTTTTTCTCCTCCTCATAGTAAAAACTTTCTAACATGCAAAAAAAAAACAAAACAAAAAAAAAAAAACACCCAGGCGCACCCACACACATCAACAGTAAACAACACCTACAGATCTACAGTACCAACAAAAGGTACACCATTTGGTATTTTAGCGCAGACAGACACGCTCAGGTCAGCCAATGTGTAAGACTTCCGAAAACAGAGGGCCGATCATCACGTACAAATCTTAGAAAAAGCAGAGAGGGCTGTATAAAAAAAGAGCAGGAACAATGAAGAAGAGGGGGGGCGAAAGACGTTGTCAGGCCAGTGGTCTGTAATCCCTCACAGACCTAACAATTTCAGCTCAGTGGGCATCTTTGACATACCCAGCAGAGACTCTTGAAAAGTCCTCAAAAATAGCAAGAGTGAGTTAAGATACATCCAGCTCTCCTCGTGATTTTTTTCTTTTTTCTTTCAAGTACTAAAACGACTACTGTTTTGCCAAGTCTGACACCAACAGTGTTTAAGGTCAGACGGAGGTGTAGAGTGGTTCATTGGACAGGAGGACGAGTCACAAGACCACCAGCGTGGGAGTCGTGAGCTCCTGTGGGATCCAACATGGACCAATAATGGCGGAGGAGTCGGAACGAATGAACATGCGTCGTCGGAAAGCCATTGGGGGCCGGTGTGCTTGCTGGGCCCAGAGGAAGTAGGAGTGGACAGATAACTGCGCTGCTGCGTCTCTCCGTAGCCACAGCTTCGAATAGCAGCAGCTGGACTAGCAGCTCCCCGGACGTACACACACATATGCGCACAACAAATGCATACAACACCGAGCACGACTTCCTCTACTCAGCCCCCTGCTCCTCCAACGCATGGATTTCTCCTGTGTCAGGGCAGCCAGCCTGCTCCTCCTCCCCGTTACCACCCTATCAGGTTGGCTTTGGCCTTCTCCGTGAGCTTGCGGACGCGTCCCTTTGAGGAGGTGCCAAATGTGATTGATGAGTCCTCAAACAGCAACTGCCTCTGCTCCTCCTCAGAGTCCTCCTCCATGTACCAGGCCGACCGTCGCCCCTGGTTTCGGGTGCGCATCGACCCACTTGCCCCGTCCCCTGCCTCTTCCTTTGGAGACTCCTTCCGGTTGGGTCGTTGAGGAGCAGGTTGGGGAGGAGGCGTGACGTCCTCATTGGCTCTCCTGCTGCTCCTCCTCAGCGGCGAGGGCTCGGGTGACTCAGCAGGAGGAGGAGTGGCTTCATCTGTCCTTACGGCTCGGGGCCGGCCGCGCCGTCTGGGCGTCGATGCCACGCCAGAGTCCGACAACACAGATGTTTCCTGCGCGGAAGACGTCCCGCCTTCGTCCCCCGTCGATTGGTCAAGCTCATCATCGGGGGTGGAGCTCCTGCGGTTGCCGCTCCTTCTCATCTCCTCCAGCTCCTGCTTGCTCTTCCTGCCTCTTTTCTTGCCAGGAGGGCGGCCGCGGGGTCGGGAAGGGCTCCCCGGAGTTGTGACTTCTGGAGGACTCACTGGTGGGTCCACTCTGGATTTCCGCCCCCTCCTCCCAACGCCCAGGGTCACATGACTACTGTGGCCATTCAGGTGGACTGTGCTCTGAGATGAAGGGCTGGCAGGAGAGCCTGGGAGGAAAGGACATTGATTTACGGGACAAAAGGAAGAAGCTATAAATCAATAGCAGACCGGTGACATTAAATGTGTTTTATGACTAATCATAAACCCAAGCATCACACGGTCACTTCTTTGAGACATTATCTCTTACCGGGTGTGAGTCGTACAGGAGTCCTGAGTTTCCTCCGGGTGCTTCCTCCACTGCTACTTTCCGTGGCTGGAGGGGGTGTCACCTTTTCAGGAGCCGGAGGCGTTGAAGCTGACACAGAGTTATGAGCCCTCAGTGAGCGAGTAGACTCTGTCGACGGCCATAAAATATGCAAGAAAGGAAGTAAATACATCCTGTTACATGTGGTTAGTTGTTAATAAACTATACTTTCTTATTAAGGGTGAAAGAATTGACACCACTCTCATGCCTGTACGGTAAATATGAAGCCAGCAGCTGGTTATCTTAGCACAAAGACAGGAAACAGGGGGAAACAGGTTGCATGGCTGTGTCTAAAGGTAACAAAATGTGCCTACCACCAGCTCTAAAGCTTATTCAATTTCATACAAAAGAGTTTAAAAACGACAGATATTTCTTGACTGGGCGCAGTAACTTCCTGGAGTTTTGTTGTCACCGTGAGGTTGCCAAGCAACTAGGCTAACCAGCTGCTCGCAGAAGCTTCATATCTGGCATACAAACGTAATCTAACTCTAAACACAAAATGTCAAACCGCTCCTTTAAAACTACAGTTTTTGATATTCTTGCTGTCAGTATGAATTTACATGTAGTAGTGATCTAACCTGCTGTGCTCTGTGGGTTGCCTGTGGTGTTATGTGAGGAGGAAGAGGAGGGTGGAGTGTGTGTAGAATGGCGTGCTGCACTTCGTGTACGCCCTGCAGCGGGTGTGTCTGCCTTCCCGTTCACCAGCTGTGGGGGCTGTTTGGGGGCGATGCTCTGCCTCAGAGAGGAGGGTCGTGAAGGAGCTGGTGATGGCTCCCTTTTTCCGGTCACTCTGGATGACACACGTCTCTTCCTCTCTGGACTAGAGGCAGGGTGGGAGGAAAGAATACCAAAGATCACACCTAATGCACAGTAAAAGACAAGACAAGAAAGAAAATGTCCTTTCTCCTACCTGGATGCAGTGCTGCTGGCTGGAGACTCGCTCCTCCTCCTCCTCCTCTTCATGGCGTGCCGTGTCTGTCTGTCTGTAGTGTGTCGTGTCTGTCTGTCAGTGCCCTGTCTGGTCAGTTTATCTGTCAGGCCGTGGATGGCCTTGTAGTCAGCCAAGATGGAGCTGACATGCTCTTCAAACAGTGCAGAGAGCCTCAGACTCATACTGTAGATCTGGAGACACAATAAAGGACTGATTTAACTGCCACACACAGACAAAAAGGGAAGTATTTTATTTGTATTAATCAAAGCATGAAAATATGAGAACGCTACAAGGTATATTAAGAGTGTGTGAGTATGTGTTTTTGCATGTGTGTCTCACCCGAGACTTCTTACTGGGCGTGTAAGCTTTGGAATTGCTGAAAATCAGCCGGACGTCTTTGCAGAGCTCAATGGGAGACTGGTACTTCCCTTCTGTTAGTGTGTTGAGAACGGTGCCAAAGTCCATTGGTGATTCGACTATTTGCAGGTAGTCCTGGGAGAGGCGGAGGGAAGTCGGGACATTTCAATTACAGGTTTCAAAAGATGAGAACACAATAAGGAGTAGAGGAGAAGGGAGGGTAAAGATGTGGGAGATTTAGTTTTTTTTACTTTAAGTGGACTGAAAAAAGAGAACCAACTGAAAGAATTCCACTACTCCTCTGTTAACAAGAGAACTGCAGCCCACTGAAACTGTGAGTCTGTTCACATTGTTTCTCCTTCACAACTCTCCCATTAGATTTGGTCTTCATTTCAGATGCTGAATGGAGAAGCCTGTTTTTCAGACCAAACAATCCCTTCGCTTCAAACACCACTCCTTGTGTAATTGAGTTGTAGCCACTTGTGCCCCTGACTGACTGTATAGTAAGTTTCAAGGACCAAAACAGGTAACTGAAAATGCAAATTGACCTGAGTCTAATACAAATTCTCTATGAGCTAAACTCACATCACATCCACATGAGTTCAGTTTGTTTCTGAGGAAGGTAGAGTTCACACAATACTGAAAGCAACGAGTTTTTGCGTAAGTACCGGGTATTCCTGTAGGTCCACGGGTTCTCTGAAGGGCTCTGAATCTTCACACTGAAAGATGAGATCCAGCAGCTCCTTGCAGCGCCCCCTCCATGCATGAGGGTCGTATGAGGGAGGTCGGGTTCGAAGTTGGCGCCGCATGGGTCGACGACCCTACACAGAAAAAGTCAGGTAAATAGAAGTAACTGTGCTTGTTTAGAGGCTGGATTTAACTTTTAATATTAAAAGTAAGACTTCAGAGTTTAGTATAGTTTGTTTTCACTCTCATGAACAGCAGTGAAGGATGTGTGGGACAACACTGTTGCTGTCACCCTAACCCTACCTTATGGTTCCGCGTGGATGTTCCAGGAGTATTACTATCTTCATCCTCCTCCTCATCATCCTAAATAGATAGGAAATGGGGAATTATTGCATATTGTATAACAGGCTGCGCTGCCCTAATAACAGCAGCATTTAAAATTAGAATTACTACTTGTTGTACCACGGTCTGGGAGAATACTCGATGCTGATAAAGAGTGTCCATTAATTCCTGATGTCGCACACCTAAGTAGTGTTTGTCAACTGCACGCAGTGTTATTGACTTTGAATTTTGCTAGTATAAGGGAACTAAAAATATCTCCTGTTGCCAAGTCATATCTAAGGTTTGTCCAATTTACTGAAGTAGTGGCATGTAAAAAAAACTTCAAATTTTGATTGCCAAACACATGAAAATATAAATGAATGATCTTCCTAAGTGACCATGGTATAAGCGGGATAATGCACTTTGAGGTGTCCATAATCAGGAATTAATGAACACCTTGTCAGGCATTATCCCTCACCCTTGATACATGCAATACAATATCCATCTCACAACATATTTATCAATTAAGAGGAAATAGTGAAAGTACGCTTTTCTTTGATGACTACCGGTATTTGACTATTTTTTGATTTGGTGAGACTATGTAATGAATTTCAGCAATTAATTAGAATAAAAAGCAACATGTTCAGGGCCTTTTTAAGACAAGTTACAGTGTAAACATGTAGATATGTAAACACACCTCATCTTCAGAGTCAGAGAAGGTAGCCTTCTTCATAGTTTTGTAGAGGGCCATGAGGTCTGTCAGACTTTGGTCCCTGAAGGAGAAAAGAGGAGAGAGCAGAAATGATATCTGACAGTGCAAATATTGTGAGATGTTTAAAACATGGAATGTAATCCTAATTTTTAACCAGAAGGTTTTGATGATTTTTTTGTGTGGAGTGCTTTAAGATCATACTCACTTAATGAATTGCAGCATGAGGTCAGAGACAAACTTGGCAGTAGTGACAATGAATGATCCGGGCTCATTGAATGTTTGGGTGTTGTGTTCAATGTAGCGGACCTCCCACATCAGAGAGGACAGTCGTCTGAAAGAGAAAAAAATAGGTTGAGTGTGTACGTAATTCTCTCTCACACATACACACACGCTCTGTATTGTCTGCCATCCCTTTTAGCCAAACACAGCCTGATGTGAGGTACCTGTAGAAGCGGTTCACCAGCCTTTGGCGTATGGTGCTGAGGTCAGTGATGTAGGCCACCACTGTGCAGTATGTGGGGTAAGCTTGTAGATCCACTGGAAAGGCGAATGGCGCTGCCACATCTGAGGGTGAACACACAAGAAGAGAGGATTATTACTGGAACACATCCGCTAAATGTAAGACAAGCCCTTAGTAATACTGTAAAACTGAACTGTTTAAAGGTGGAAAGAGAGGTATAGTCAGAAATGACTATAATAAGAATGATATGAAAATGCCACATAGATCTTTTTTCTGTTAGAGGTGGAAACACAGAATCTGCTGTGGAAACTGTCAAGACATGTTGCACACATAACAAAAGCAAAAGTTTTGATTTCACATATTTATCATACCTTAATTGGTCAACAAAGTGGATTTTCTTTTATAAATGCAGAAAAGTCATAAAATATCAAATATCATAATAATATTTACACTGGATCAAAGCACATATTGTTGAAATTGAAGGTGTGAATCCAGGCATTTGATAAAAATGTATTGTACATTATAAAATGTTTCTTAGCTCTGCACAAAGGCAATACTGGACCAAGAAAAAGCAATAGATTATATTTTTTCTTTTTCAATCTATATTGTAACAATATGTGTATCAAAAATTATGAAGATGTGAAATTCCTAACCTATCAAAAAAAAGAGCTACCCCTAGTAACTAACAACTAAATAAATATGTTAGGAAAACTTGCTACTACTACTTGCTGTAGCCTCAAACTTTGACCAATTTGACCTAAAATTCCACTGTGGACCTTAATGGTTTAACAAAGGTGGATATCCTTTCTACATGATATGTCTCCTTCTAAATAAAATAACCTGCTTACGGTGTCTAAATTTAGATGCACCTGCAAGAGTTAATATAAATCCTGTGCTGTAAGCCAACTGCGGCATGAAGCGTAGGAGTAACAAGGGAGAGATCTAGAAGGATTAAGTGTGCAGGCTGTTGGTGCTCGCGTGTGTTTAATTCCCAAACTATCACTAGAGGGAGCCTTCAAACCAGCTTTCCACCAGGAGGGGTGCAGTAACACAAAGCCTGTGCTTTATATGACATTACATCACTTAATGGGAACTCAAGCAAGCACCTCAGTATGCGGCTGAACGTGTTAGCAGCTTATTTCTTTTAACATTTGATCCGTGGCCCTGCTGGGCTCACACTGATGAGCTCAGAGTGGTGACTCATGTTGTGTGGACAGTCATGCTGCTTTACGAGAAATGGGCCCTCCTGGTTGAACTTCACATCGCCGCTTAAGTCACATAAGCAGACCGTTATTTTCACAGAAGCTTGATGACGTCATACCGAGTGTGCAGAGCTGGTCGATGGCTTTGATGATGCGTTCGCACTCCTCTGCGCGTGTGCGGCAGCCCCACTCCCCGTCCAGTGGGACGTAGAGCAGCTCCTTCTGCTCTTCTTCTATCAGCGGGACGCTCATGCCCAACTCCTCGGGAAACGTGGCTGCGCGGGGAACAAGAGAAACTGAAGAATCCTTCAAAATGTTAAAATTTGTAAAGGGAGTGTAAATGTGTATATACTGCAGTGTGAGCGTATTAGAGTGACCTACCATCATCAGGGATGGGCTCCATATCCCAAGGACTCATCTTTTCCGTGTCTCCGTTATCCCAGCTGGATGAGAAACAGTTTTGATATGAATCGTCAAAGTCATCTTTGAGCCTTTGTCTTTGATATTTTATAGGTGACGTATTACAGTCATCCTACAGCCTAAAGTGAATGTCATTCTCTAACAAGGTTTTTCAAATAATGTGTCACCATGAGCACTCAGTGCTGACAAAGAAAAACTAACTCAAACAGACAATATGCTTATTAACGTTTCAAATTGGAATGTCACTGACAATGAAAGTCCACCAATAGCAAAACAATGTTAGTTGGTGTCATTGTAAATATCAAATCCAGGACTGTTTCATCAAGTTTTATGAGTGATTCAAGCCATGACGTGTTTGTGCAGTTAATGAGTGTTGTGAGAGGAGGTGTCAGCAACATAATCACAACGAGCCGTTTGTCTACACTTGCCTGGATTTTGTCCAAGCAGACAAATCCCTGTTACATATAAACCATTTTAATGAAACGGGTTCACGTGTCTTATTCCTTATTCTGTCATCGGGGGAAGTCAGATGTCAAACTCATTCAGTCCCAGGATTCCACTAAGATACCAAGAGAGCAGCAGACAAAGACTGGGAACCCAGTCAAAGTTTTCACACTTTCACACAGTAGCCAACTTTTCTGATTTTGAAAATCAGTCTCCAAGTGAAGTTTCACAAAATCACAAGATTTCAATAATACAATGTTTGGTAAATATGTACCATCAATTAATGCCACATGATTTTCTGACTAAGAGATTACAGTTCTCCTTCTATAACCTGCTCGTACCTGCTTGTTCAGTATTCTCCATATAAAAGTGTTATAAGTGGTATAAAGTTCACGTTATGCTGATACTGTATAGTTTTGTAATGTTGCATTTTGTTGTGTCATTTCAGTGGATTGAATACATTTCTGGTAGTAACCTGCAGTGCTGCAACTGCAAAATATAATTAGCGATGTCTGACTTCCTTTTCTCACCATCATCCCAGAGGTTTCCTTGATTATGATTCATTTTGGTCTTGTCATTTCTGTTTAACACACATTATATCTGTTTTCATTTCTGACACAGTTTGTCGCGCGGGGTTAAGCAGTCTTTTCATTTGTTGATGCAACCTTAGGTTTGAAGCAATGGATCTAATTGCTCATGAAAATGTATCGAGTGAAAGTGAGACTGTGTAGAGCTCTGATTTATCTGCGTTTTCAACTGTGCAGCCCTAAACAGAGTAAATACAAGCGGATCATACCAGACATTGTAGCACTGAAAGAGGCTGTCAGGATACTGAGGCTGGTAGGGCTCCTGGCTCTCGATGGTCCCAAACCACCAGGCATCGTCAATTACTGACCGAAACCTGTCACCTATACACACATCACAGTTAGTTTAGATCTTAACAAGAAAACAACAGTTGACCTCATGATTTAAGTTAGAAAATATATGTGACATGTATTTTGTATTCTGCGTGTCAGACAACAAAGGCAAACCTGTCTGACCTATACTCCACTGCCTCTTTCTGGCATTGTCAAACTGCTGCCGTAGTACCAGGAAGTCAATGACATCAGGCATGTCGTGGTATCTGCAACAAGACAAACATGTAAGCAACAAAGCAACAAAAGAATAAATAAAACAACCATATTAACAGTGTGAAATAGATCTAACACAGACAATGTGGAGTAGCAGCTTGCCTTTCCCATAACAGTATTTACTTTTGTATTGTCAGTCAACTGGATTAAATGTTTTAGGAGTACTGCCTTGCCTTGTGTCAACACAAGAATTAATTTAGGGAAATAAATATTATATTTAAACTTAGCAGAAGAGAAGCCCATAGATTACAGAGAATAGTTTCACACTCTGTGGGCACTAATGTTGTTGGAGGAATAAAAAAGGTGAAAACGAGGGTGAAAAATGGAAAGTTCCATTAAATATAGCATGTGTCACATTGGGATGCTTACTTCATAGAGAAGGATCCTCCAGTTAGTTTGCCGGTGTCAGGGTCCAGGAAGGAAAGCTTCAGACAGCACAGTGTGGGCAAGCCAACCTCATACTTGATGCCAACTATCTTCATCAATTCCTGCTCCTATACAGCCAAAAATAAAATGGACAAATAATGCAAATGAATACAACTCATTTATTGGGAGTGATTAGCGTTTCCTGGTTTAGATTAAATAAGATCAATGCACTACTTTTCATTTTCTATTGATATATTTTCTTATCAGTGTTGTGTACTGTGTAGGCTGAGAGAGAGTTAGCAGGGCTACAGTAAGTTTTTCGAGCTAAGAAAAAGTTAAACCGGAGAAAGTAATACTTTAATGTCGCCATAGATGTTTGTTCAAATAAAAAGAAAAAGGTATAGAACCCTGCGTTTTACACGCTACAGGCAATACATTCACAAAGATGCACACTGTGGCTGCAATACATTATGGACTGCTGTCTGCACGGAAATTGCTATTTCTGCCTCCACACATGGAAAAGAAATGAAATATATACCAAGTAAAAATGTAATCCCATAAGCTGTTACTTTTAAGTGTTAAAGTCTTTTTCCCCATTCTTTTAGAGACAGTTTCATATATAGGGGTGAAACTTTGTTCTCTGCAGACATTTTTCTTTTAGCTGATGTACATTTTTTTGGAAGGAAAAGGGATTAAAGTAAACATGAAAGAAACGAGACAAGCGTCTGTGAGTAAGAAGAAATACCAGTAAGAGGTTTATAAGCTAAATACTGTGTGTGTGTTGGAAAGACCTGAGAGGGAGGTGTGTGTGTGTGTGTGTTTGTGTGTGTGTGTGTGGGTGTGTTGTGATGTGTGCAATGGTGAATGATTGAATCATTGTAGCTTGAAACTATGTAGTGATTCCTAGGAACTGCTATGTATTCTGAGGAAGATTGTGCCTTTTATTATTTTATTTCTACTCTGGCCTTTTTAGCCATTACCTTTGAAACTCAGCATCCTCAAAAGAGAAGTGTCACTGAAAGTATTAAACTGCCAAAATGTCAGTCAAGATGTGAGACTGAAAAACAGGATCTGGCATCTGATGTTCACTATATATCTGTCAGAGGATTGTGAGAGAGGTTTTTCACTGTGACTTCTACTTTTATGTTTTTAATGAATGTCACTGTTATTAATTTAACTGGACAAATGTATTTCCCCTGTGTGAGGACTGTATTGACTTTTGTTTCATGGCTCTACTGTTATTTTTACAAGAGGATTCTCTTCAGTGGTTGTGGGCACACAAATAAAGAGACGATATAAATCTCTGGATACATGGGATCTAAAGAGCAGAGTCTCTCTTCAGAGAGTCTTAAATCTATCTTTGTCAAAGTGTTTCTTACCCGTAGCTCCATCTTGTGCCAGGGCTGCTTTTTAGGATTGATGCTGTAAATCTTTTTCTGTTTGGCCATCTCCACATAGGCTTCATGGCCCTGTCTGAAGTAGTATACCTGCACACACACACATACATCAATTCAAATTTATCACAGAACTGTATATTGTATATGTTTCTGGAATGTAAAATTTGGGGTAACATAGTTAAATTATATTTTCAGCTGCTATGGATGGCAATGTCAGTCAGTGTGTCCCTTATTTACTTGTGTGTAATGGACATTACAGCCTCATGGGGCCGCTAAATTAAGTGCAGACTTTCAGTCTTGTTGCTATGTAAAACATGAGCCGGTGTTTTGGAATGAGCAGACATGTGGTGCACATGTGCTGAGGACACTGAAACAGCTCGTACCTCGTCCCCCATCTGGGGTATGTAAGGACATCTGCGGGGGACTGTGTCTGTGATCCAGGCAGAGGGTAGCCACTCCTCCAGTGTTAGCCCTTGCTCCTCAAGCTCTGTCCTCTGAATGACACACAACAAAATAAACAGTCAACAACAGTTCTTAAATTAGGGGTTTTTCATTATGTAACATTTCTTTTCTTCTCCAGAATTTAAATAAGGACCTAAACTTTGAATAATCCTCATCTAATGTGTCCATACTTTAAATCAAAAGTTAAAATGTATGAATTTGTTTTACATCAAATGTGCAGAAAATATTGCAAAAGAACCTTTTGTCACGTTTGTTGAATGTACTTGTGTTGACTTCAATTATTTGTCTTTAAAACAGTGTTTAATCTGAGCCCTCATTTGCGCAAATGGCTGAAGGGTAGTAACTTTGATTTACTCCTGGAGCCACAAGCAGGCAAAACACAATTACTAACAACAAACCTTCCTCTTCTCCTTTGGCGTCTTCTTCTTTGGTAATGCGCCATCTTTGTCGGCTTTCTCTTTCTTTCTCTCTTTCTTCCCATCCCTCTTCTTCTCTCCATCTTCCTCAGAGCTGCTGCTTTTCTTTTTTACTTTCACACTCTTCTTGGGCGGTTCAAGGTTGATCCCTGCGTCCGCTGTCCAGTCGGAATAATCGCTAGAGTAGTCGCTGCAAATAAATCACAGGGAGAAGATTAAATACACAGATGTATCTGCTTGTGTTCATGTTTTGATTTGCATACAGCATGTGCATGTATCTGTAGGAGATGGTTGATATGATTAATGTGTGTGATGTACTGTATGTATCTTACCTTGAACTACTGTGGTCATCCGGCCAGGGTTCCTTTGCTTCCTCTTCCTTCTCCTCCTCTGATGAATGTCCGTTGATTTGCCGTACCTCCACCTCTCCCTGGAAACACATATCATTTCATGTTAGCGCTCTAAACGACACAAAGACGAACAAAAAAAAACAAACAGAATCAGTGAAAAGGAAAGGCACCAGGAAGGTACTGTATAGTAAAAAGTTGGTCTATTGTTGTGAGTTGAGCAGTTTGGTGTGCTTGTATCAGCTTGTTAGATTAGAGAGGACATAAGAGATAAGTGGTACTGAGCAGAGCTACACCACATTTAACTCTTCAGTGCTCAATTGAGTACTACTTTTATTGTTAGACTCTGGTAATGAAAGAGTGCATAAAGTTTTCATGGCTTTATTACACTGTTTGCCTGCTAGACTGATTTGAAGGTAGATAAATGTCACTATGTCTATATGGCTTATTTTAATGGATCATTTTGATGACAGGGTGTCCTTTTGGAAAATACACACAAAATTAAAAGAGTCTACTTTTCACAGTACTGGCAGTCCAGAATTGTTTTACCAAGTGGTAAAGTCCAAGGCGCAAAACAGCAGGAAGTAAAAGGTTAACATGCTGGCAAAGTCTGAATAGAAGGTCTTTGGTGAAATCAGCTGATCGAAAATTGGACTAGAAGAAAAATGAGTGCAAAAGCAGTTCTAACAAGTTAGATGAGCCAAAAAAAAAAAATGGGGAAAATGACATCCCACAAGCAAAATTAAAAAAACACTGTTTACTGTCTGACTGCAAATCGCTAGAATTAAACTTTAAGACCCCTTCAAAAGAACTCCAACACAAATCTTTTCATGTCATGTGTGTTTTAGAGGAAGATCAGGAAGGGTTTGCCACATAGCTCCCCTATGAAGTCTGAAACTTAATTCAAAACAGTAACGGTATTGTATCTACCTCTGAGGTGCTTTCGTCGTCATCAGCAGCCTCGGCGCTCTGGCGGCTCGTCTCCTCCATGGCAGCACGGGTGTGATAGCCGTGGTTACCCTGGCTCCTCCTCCCCTCGTCAACTACACATTCTGATGTCGGATGAACCTGCAAAAGCAGAGAAGGAAGGACAAAGAGGAGACAAATAAGAACAGAAATTCCCTATTAAAACTAGGTTGTTAGGCACTGAATAGGAAGGTTAAGGAAGAAAACTAATTATATTCCCCTAGAACAATAATGTTAGTATATAATGTGTGTGTGTGTATATAATGTGTGTGTGTGTGATAATTCACTTACCCTGCTCTCCTTGGGGAGAGAGTGGATGGTACGTCTCCTCCTTTCTGACTGATAAATATTGATCTCCTCCTCCCCTTTAGCCTCACGCCAGTTTACCTGTCTCCTACACAATAAACAAACACACAGAGAGAGTGATGACATGCATTCTATCACTTCCAAAAGGAGGTTTCTCTCTGTGAAATCAAATTTGTGTGTGTGTGTGTGTGTGTTTGTGTGTGTCTGTCTGTTACCCGACAGAGGCGTCCTCCAGCTCAGGGACCAGCACCCTGCGGCTCCAGGCCACCAGGTCTCCCTCTGTGGCCATCTGGCTGCGTGGGGCGTTGCTGTGCATCTGCCGGACACCCTCGATCTGCCCGCTGCGTCGCAGACCCACGTTGGGTGGAGAGTGCACCTCAGTGGGCGAACCCACTGATCCTGAGGGAAATAGATATCAAAGAGAGGGAAAATAGTGTTTACACCGTTTTGGGGTAACTTGTCCCAATTGATAATGGATGAGAATGCTGACACCCAACTCATCCATGTGTTTCTAGTAGATTCATTAATTCAAGTGCTAGAAATACTAATATACTTAGTATTTGTAGTACCAGGAGAAGTCTTCAAATTGCTTATTTTGTCTGAGCAACAGTTGAAAACCCATATTTTTTTACTATTACATAAGCCAAACAAGCCAATCTTAAGCTGATACCATTAAAAATTAAACTAAATAATTTCTGATTCTGTTTTTGTATTGATGGACTAATTAATTATTTGACTAACTGTTTCAGCTCTGGAGATACAAAGAGAGACAAGAGAAGAAACAATGATTTGAACTAGCCGGTTACTAAGTTCATGATATTTCATTAGTAAAACCTAATGGAATTTACAAAGCATACAATAAAGACACCCATGATTTTGTTACTAAGAATGCTGCAGTTTCTTTCTGTTGCCAGCTGCATGCAGGCGATTACTTATTGTAGAACATTTCATTGAACTTTCTAGGTTTCCTGTGTAAATCTCACTGAGTTGCTTAAAATGTTTGTTTTGCATAATTGAAAAAATATGTTGCATATTTCATCTGAAAGGTTCATTAAAAATATATTTTTAGTTTCACGATACACTAATTACAAACATGTGGCTATGACAAATAAAAATATTAGTCCGAATGTATTGTGTGGTGTACTTTTCACACTGTTAATTATACAAATCCATCATATGTGGATTAAAATAGTATCTGCACTTCGTCTTGTCTTAACCTGCTTCAGAGATAGGTAGAGTCACTACATTTAGAAAGCTTCAGTATTTTTTACCTCAGATAAGGCATTAAATTAACATTTGAACTGAATAATGTCCTTGCTATGCCTTTGCAGGTGAAAACTAAAACTAATTCGGATAGTGCCCACACTACATTAGTTTGACTTTCTGGTCATACGCAGCCTTACCTCTGCTTGCCCTGGTGTCATTTGTTCCCAGTCTCTGGTCCTGTTCCTGCTGCAGCCTCTGAATCATAGTATCCAGAGGACTGGGACCGTCCACCGCCTGCTCACTCACCACTTGGTTCAGGCCTGACAGAGACAGGAATGGAGTAAAAGAGAGTGACTTAAAAAAGTGAAAGAGAAACAGAAACAGAAAGAGATGGTGGTTCTGGTGAAATTAAAATAGCTTAAATCAAGTCATAAAGAAGACCCCTACTGTTTCATAATAACTGCATGTACACATTGCTTTATTGCATTCATTTCTTTCTATTTAAAAGGAGGTGAGCTAAAAGTTCCTATACTCTGCACGTCAAAGAAGGCAATGGGTTTTTCCCAAAATCCTCCAGTCACCTCAATACCCAGCATGCTTTGAAAAACTTTAAGGGCAAGGTTAACACTATACTAAGGCAAAACCCACAGAGAGCATGTACAGTCATATCTCACAAGAAATCCCTCTTCCCCCTCGCCTCCTTCACCTGTCTCCACCGTGCACTACTGATGCATTTCATTATCTACTGCTTGTTTCTGTTTATATCCCTGCCAAGATTTGAAACTGCCTTATTAGTTCTGGTTATGATTGCCAATGCTGGTGTAGTTTCAGTAAAAAAAAAAAAAACTCATTATGCACAATTGATGACAAATAACTCGTCAGGCTGTGAGAGCAATGTGACAGATTACAGTTACAATTAGACAGTGTCACCCCCAGGTAAAGTGTACAAGCAAACAAGAGCAGAGTACAACTGAGTTCATGCCCTCAGACCATGAAGAGAAAAGATATTCCTAGGGATCTGATTTCAGCCTCTGTACCTGAGGAAGTGACTCCCATCTGTGGGATCAGCTGCTCATCCCTACAGCCCTCTCTGCCAGGCACCAGCCGTTGGTATCTAGGGTGGTGGGGGTTCCCGTCCACATCCACCAGGAAGGGAGGGGGCATTAGGTGTGGCGCCTGCTGAGTCTGTTCATCCAGCACATAATTGTTGGCATCCCGGATCAGTGGCCGGTAGTCGGTATGGAAGAACATCTGGTCCGCTATCTGAAAAAGGGAGAGGTACATTTACTCATACATTTTAAAGCTAATACTTAGTATGTTTCCAATGAGGATGTAAGACTGATCAGGACCACTGATCTTGTTGTTACTGATAGCATCAATTACGTGAGTTGTTTTTAAAGGTATGTGTATGAACATTAAAGGTGACCGTGTTGCTTTACCTTGTCATACTTGCTGCTGGAGCCAAAGCCAAAGATGAGCAGGTGTCCATGGGAGTCGGTGGCTGCAAAATGCTGCCCATCTGGACTACATTTGCAGTCAAACAACGCTCCGTGCCCTTGGCCCTCGATCTGTCCAACGAGGGGGGGGGTAGGTACACATTGTAAATTATAGTATTACACTACCAGGGCTATTCCAGGCAACCGTAGCTTCTCAAAATGTGTAGTACGCAAAATCAGATGCAGCATTCCACATGAATGGCACTTAGTACTGATACTTAAATTGTTTTTTTTGTGTTTGATGTTTTTTATGTAAACCATGTGACAGGCAGCATTTCTCATTTCCAGCAGCAATAGTGAAATAAAGAGAGTTTGATAGACAGCCAGATCAGTAATATCCACTATTACAATACTGAGCACCACCTGCAGAAACGAAACTTCATCAGAAAACCCTAACTGTTCTGACTGTCAGCAGACTGTTGCCGTTAGTGGGTACTCCATTCAGGAACCGGATGAAAACATCTCTTGAGAGTTTTTGCCTCTTTGTCACTTATAAGGTTGTCGAAAGTACGGATACTTCAATACTTTTGTGATACGACGTGTTTAAAACTAAACGATTCTATCAACTGATAGTATCAAAAGTACCAAACCTATAAAAAAAAATACATCTACAGTCCAGATTTTCCACACAAAGTTGCACAGATTAAATCATTAACTGGTCTTCATTATGTGTTTAGTAACTTTTTCTGTACCATGTGTTCATTATTATTATTTTTTTTTAAAAAGGGGGGGGGGGAAATCCTATTTTGTGTGCCTAGAACTTTTTTCTTCTTGCCGTGGTATCAGAAGAGGTATCAAAGTATTGTACTGAAGTTTAAAATTCTGGTATCGTAACAAGTAAAGGTGCATGTGTTTTTAGCTAGCTGCAGGAGAGGCAACTCTAGAAGCTGTGGAATAGTGATAGAACAAATATCCAGATACAGAAGGCTACAGAACAGCGTCCTCTGTCAGACCTTCTAGATGATTTAAGGAAGCCCCCTTCTTGCAAGCAAACAAATAAATTCATATAGTTCAGTTAAAGAATGGCTGTGGTAGCAGCTACACTGAAACAGTGTTTGAAGCAAATTTTGCAAAGTAAGAAAGAGCAATGCATATCAGTTTAAACAACCGCATTGCGCATGATGCTGTGGGAAGATTATGTCTACAAGTAATAGTGCAACTCTGCTTGACTTGGCTTCAAGACCATGTAACCTCTAAAAAAAAAAAAGCCACATTTTTCCTATTCCAAGAAAAGATGAATTATTAGTCAATAAATTCACCCTTCCTCCATTTCATGTACTTGTTTTGCTGCTACAGTCTTACTTGGTCTTTAGCTTATGGTGGCTAACATCAGCTAACATGCCATGTATTCAAGTGGTTAAGAAGACAGCCTAGTCAGAGGGTCATGAGTTCAATTCCTCTGCTGGGCATGCTGTGCTAACATTGGCAAGCTTTAGTTATTGCTGTGTAACTGACATTACTGGGTCATTGCTCTGACTTCATGACTCCTTTCTACTTGTGCTCCTCTTACACTACATTTTAGCATTTACCATGAGCCTGTAACTGCCATTGTGTCTACAGAGAGCACTATTTATTTTTAACAGTTCCAAACAGAACCATTTCAAGATGACACACTTTGTGTATTCACTGTCTATGATCAGTACCAAGATTTGGCCGACTGATCAGCTCACTGAGTGACTCACTTGTTCTGAGACTCTGATTAATGCTGCCCTTGGTTACCATAGAGACGCAAGCAGGAAATACAACAGTGGCTACAATGATTAACACACCAGGTGAATTAGTACAGTGGCATATGGACATCAGTGTGGTGTCATGATTTCACTCTACCCTCAACTCATGCCCACGGCCACACATAGTGTAGTTTAAATGAAAAACGTGAGAGAAAAAAAAGAAAGAGGAGAAAGTGAAAGCAGTAAGGGAGGGGAAGAACAGTGGCGGGTGAGAGGGAAAGAATGTGAGACAAAGAGTGAAACTGCGAAAGGAAAAGTATGTGTATTTGGAAAGAGGCAAAGGAACAAGAAAAAAAATTTAACAATGCTCATCTGTATGTCTTTCTGCTGATTCACTGCATGAGGAAATATGACATGTGTGAAGGGGACAAATATCAAGATCTGGTCACTGTCCGCTTCAATGTGAGGGCAGTGAGGGAGAGGCAACGAGACAAAGAGACAGAGAGATGCAGGGGGCTCGAGAGTCTCACCATGTTGAAATAGGAGCGGATCTTGACTCCTCTGGCCAGGTCCCACACAACGCAATTCCCATCATGCCCCGCAGAGAAAAGGATTCTGGGATCGAAGGGGTGTGGCTCCAGAACAAACACCTCGTCCTCGTGACCCTGTCATTAAACAACATGAACATATAGATTAAGACACTATTATACTACATTAAGAAATGAAATCATCAGTGTTTGCCAAACAAAATTTGGCATACTTTGTGTCACTAAAGGTTAAGGGGTCAGGGGGTTAGGGTCACTCTGGTACCACTAGAGCCAGACCCATATATCAGTCGGCCGATACTGGCCTATAGCAGACATCAGTATCTGCATATATGTTATCCAATATATGCTGATATGAAAACTGTTTTTTTTCTGGTATATAATGCAAAAAAGAAAAGGGAGGTGTGGAGGAGATGGAGAAAAAAATGTTTGTGTTAATATCCTGGTGTCACTGCACAGTTTATCCAGCAGAGTGGGCTGTGATTTACAATACTGTGGCAGCAGCACAGAGTAGGAGAGAAGAAGCTCTCAGCAATGTTCAGAATTGGTTGAAACTGTGTATGTTAAAGCCCCTACCAGGAACTTTCAGTTTGTGTTGTGTTAAAAACTCCTTGTAATATGTTAAAATTATTTAACAAGAATATTTGACTTAAATGTGCTTTTACTCCTTCTGAGTACCTTTGCATAGATATATTGTTGCAACATCTGTCAAAAATTCACATAGAAAATGTCTATTTTCATCTCATCGGTAATAAGTGAATTTTCCCCCCCTAACACTGGTAATTCTGTATTGGTCTGGCTCTACTTTTTGTTCAATCTACTTTTTTACCACGTTTACGTTTTGTTTTTCTTCTGGGTTTTAACGCATTGCTACTAAATGTCCCACACTCTTGAATGCATCACTAGGGAGTTTCTGAAAGTCCCTGCTAACAGCTGATTTAACAAAAGACATATGGAGATGTTCAGGATAATAGATTATGTAAAATCTATAATATGTTATGGGAAAAGGTCAGCAAAGATCCATAGTACTCTATATGGGATTTGTAGCTAGAGGGCAAAACATGCAAAAGATGAACACGTACAAAAATCTGACACAGATAATATGTCAAAGTATTACCCAAATAACCAGAAATTACTGCAGCAGCAACACATGGATTATAACTGCAAGGTCAGTTATGAGTAGATTAAGTATTGTAAGATTGATAGAGGACCCTTAAAATGCAATTTAAGTTAATTTCATGCTGTTGTTTCTTTCTTATATTGTGTTTGTACATGCGTATCTGTGTTTGTTAGCACTGCGTTTGCATGTGAATATGTGTAATCGCTACATACCATCAGGACGTGGACAAGATTGCCAGTGGAGGAGTTCCACACCTTCAGCGTCAGATTGTTGGCTGCTGTGATCACTGTACTGTCATGGCGATCCCACGCTACCATGGTAACCTTCAACTTGGTCACCTTGTCTTCCAGCGGAGGAGGGTTGTACTTCCTGAAGGGAAAGATGTTGATACACTGATGTCACGTTTGCACGAATTAAGGTCAGTTTGATTTACTTTATGCACAGAAATGAGATAAAGGAGCAGATAAAAGACATTTCTTTTATTTAAAATGTTTAAATGTTTGTTCTGAAAAATAAAAGACACCCTCTTCCTGAACTTATAATCAAAGAAGTAAACAATGTATCACCTGGCTTTTCCTGCTAATTAATCTAATTTATTATCATCAAAATCTCTTTACTGTTTAACATAATTATTCACAACATCTGTTGTTACTGTTTACGTTTATGTGTAAACCTGTGAAAACCAGCACATCCAATACTTTCTTGTGCAATTCCCTGCCTCCCACTTTATGTACTACAGTGAGTGTAAGAACTATATAGACATATATAAATACATACATATACATATGTACATATATACAGACAATTACAAATGTATAATTTTTTTAGGTAACCAGGCTATCTCTAAATCTATATTCATTCTCAAAGCTGTCCCATGTTTGCTGTGTTCATTCAGGCAATAAAGACTTAAATAGCCTGTCATTGTCATCTCCAATCCATTCATTCACTGTCTGTGTTGGCTGCAGTAAATCTATATTCTGTCTGGGAGCCATCAGGTAATCAATCACTGTGTCACACTTCACGCCACAGGTGTGAAGATGTTGTTTTTTTCTTTAACTTAATTGTTTATGTGGAGTAGGTCATCATACTCTAAATAAATAAATGCATATGTGAATAATTACAAGAAATGCAGTTTGCTGCTGGCACAAAGGGCATGCTCTGTTTTACCTATTCCTGATTAAATGTGTTCTACCTTAAAACTGTGCATAGCTTTTAACAGGGGATCTTTACACACTATAGATTTGGCACTTTTGCACACCACATGATTGACTTTTGTGAAATTTGGACTGACATTATAACCCACAGAACCATCTTAACCCACGGCTCTGAGCTCTGAGCACAGCAGTGCTCGTAGAAAAGCCAGACTTTGACAGCCGTACACACACATACCCGGGTAATTTGGTCTGCATGTCCAGCAGAATGCTCCTCCAGCCCTGAGGCTGCAGCTGCCAGATTCGTGCTGTACCATCCCTGCTGCCGCTTACAAACCTGCAACACACAAACACACACACACACACAAATATGTGAACACAGATTCATGCTGCAACTAAGCTGTAAATATAAATATGTAAAAACACCTTGTTCTATTTCAGCTTTCTACAATACAATGAATGCTTTCATCTTCACATATCAGGATACACTAATTGTATGTACCCCCCATCATCTTCTTCTATCTCCACCACCCCTCCTTTTTCCTTTTTGCATAGACAGTCTGCCTCCCTCACTGCTGAGATTACAGCAACCCAGGGGAATTACAGCTGAGCTTGTTTTTCTGCAAACTCCACATAGACACACACACACAAGAGTGTATGATATGTGCAAGTATATGTGTGTGTGTGTGTGTGTGTGTGAGGGGACCTGTTTTAGAGCATGTATCAAATAGCAAGTGAAGTTAGTGATTCTGCTGACACCATCAAGTAACATTATAAGACCCAGAGGTTCCATAAAAACAAACAGCAGTGCACACACAAAAACTAACTACACCTATTATGTAGCTCAAACACACACACACACACACACACACAACCTACCTGTCACTGCAATGTGAAAATTGGATGCTGTCAACTTTGTCCTAGGTGAGGAAAATACAGAAGAAAAGTCAAAACAACGCAATGAGTAACAAGCATTTGCTCTGTCAGTCTTCCAAAGCATGACAATTGTATTGTGTATTACAAAAAAAATAATATTTCTGACAAGAAAGCCTTAATTGAAGGTCAGCTTACTAGCTTTTCCAGAGATTTCAACTGCGTCTCATTTTTTTTTTTAGTTAATAATTTTTTGTATGCAATTTTTTTTTAAACAGAAAACAGATAACGTACAAGACAACTAGTAAAAACATTACATTTGTCAAAACAATAACATTTTTAGTACAATGGACAATGTTAGGCATCTTTAAACTCACTGTATGGGACTCAAGTTCAGAGATCTTCTCTGGTTGTCCTGACCCAAAGTAGTACACCCTAATGATGTGATCCGTGCTTCCAGTGGCCAGGAACATCCCACCTGGACATACACATACACATAAAGCATTAGAGTCACAAAATTCATACATCCCAGTACTAGTTTCTAACATAATGTAAAGATCTACGTTTTAAAAAAAAAAAAACTGTATTGTGCGAAAGAAACTTAACGTAATTTATCAAATGTTCAATGTCAATAACATCTCGAAATAGAAATATACTCTGAACAACTGTGAAGCACACTTATTGCACATTTACTGAAAAGCAGCAGGCCCACTTGAGTGTGGCTGTCTGCTGTGCTAGCTCTTCAGTTAATCTGGGCTAATTGTGCACATTTTTTCAGCTCTGTTGCCGTTTCCCCTCCGGTGGTCTCGAAGCATGCGTGAAAATCAAAAAACGAGCAGCAGCTCACCTGCGCTGAAGGAGGAGCAGATCATCTGGACGCCAGGTCTGGAACGCTCCGTGAATTTACTGGGCCTCTGACTGAGCACACACACAGAAATGGATAAATGAAACACACATTGAACTATCCGTTTGTAAGTATTTAATAGAACAGGTTTTATAAGTGGGCATGTTAGCTGAATTTGGCTTCCTTTTCACATTTCCACAAAAGTAGGCCTATTCAGCACATATTGAACAGTGAAAATCAATCTATGAAGCACAAAAAAAAGACAATCCAATCTACCTAAAACTGGAAGCTGAAAGTGGCAATAGCTATGAAAAAAGATCAGTGTGTAGTTTAAATCAATACTGTCTGAAAGAATATTCAGTATGAAGCAAGAACATTAAAGAACATCAAGACAACACACAATAAACTAAAACCCCAGTAAACTTTGATTTTCACTGTGTGACAAACAAACATAATGCTATGGTATATCAGCAAAATGCTCGACAGTACGTAGACGCAAAAGGTGTGAACGGCACTTGTGCAGGTGAGACTGTGTGTACTGTGTCTCGTGTTTCTCACCCAAACTTGAGCGTGCGTGCATCCCACTGCCAGAAGCAGATGGTGCCGTCAGCTCCAGTGGAGGACAGGTAGCGCTTGGAGCCGCAACAGAGAGGAGAAAACTGCAAACACAACCAATTAGAGGTTACAGCTGAGTATAATGGGCAATCAAAAGACACTGCTAACACTACAGCAAAAGAGAAAGAACAATTAACCCTCATGAGCTTAAAAAGCTCCCATAACAATGTACGGGAGAGTTGAGAGATTAGCATATAAGTCTAGAACATAGAGATGAGCCGCACTGCTGACCTGGATGGCATTTCCCTTCATTACAATAAACATTAACACTGTAGTTTATTTTGAGTAAATCACACTTCATCCCTACCTACTGCTATAAATACTGAAGTGTATTAATTCAGTAATAAATCAGTCCTCAACAAATGCACTATTTACTCTTGTTTGAGTAATGTTTACTAAAACCTGCAATGCCCAGCTGTTTCAGGAAATCACTTTTTGAGATTCACGTCTCCAGTTCAGTAGAAACAAACAGCTTGAGGCTGAACGCCACAGGCAGGGGAGGGAAAGTTGAAACTAACACGTGGCTGGTTTTGGTATTTAAGGGGATTTCTTGACAATAAGGAGAACATAAAATTACATAAATAAAACATTTCTCATTGTAAAAATGAATCTGCTCATGGAACCAATTGGCATTGGCATTGGCAACTGGCATTTTATTATTGGATATCAGCTAGTCATGTCATCTACTGCCCATATGTTCGAAGGTGTCTTCTTGGCCTCATCAACTACCACATGTTGTTTTAAAGAGGGGCTTTCAAGTTCATGGATTTGGCAGAATATAAAACTGCACAAAAGATGTACAAAGCAAGAAATAATGTACTTCCTGGCAACATACGAAAATGTTCTCAGACAGAGAGGGAGGTCATAATTTAAGAGGAAAATGTAACTTGAAAAAACATTATGTTCGTGCCACTCTGAAGAGTATGTGTATTTCAATTTGTGGGGGGAATTTGTGGAATGGTTTAAATGGAGAACTCAAGCAAAGTACAAATATAAATAAATCAGCTCCAAAAGATGTACAGTGCTGGCACCGGTACAATGATTATCTAAAAAGGATGAACATCAAGGTAATGCTTTAAATTATAAAGTAAATCGTTATGTTATATATACTAAACATTAAGGTAATGGTTTATATGTGTATAACAACATTAAGTTTATTATGTAAGATATATAAAAGAGGTAGGACCATATAAGTGTATACTTCTTTCAACTCCTTCCCAGGCATTATTTATTTTATTCATTGAGAATTTCCTGTATATGTTTACTGTATTGGTTATTTTTTCTGTTTTCTTACATATTATTTGTTACATGTTGGAAATAAAATCTATTCAATTAAATTAAATTAACATGTAAAACCCAGTTTGTCATTATCTAAATATTGTTTTAGTGATTTAGTAAATTATACCAGCATACAATATTCTAACAAAATAACAAAACAAACAACTAATTTTTGTTTAGAGTTGCTTAAGTTGACAAATTTGGATATTTCCACAATGTACTGTTCCAGGCACACTCTACAGACAGACACACAGACAACCTGGTGCCAAGAATTGAAAATATTGTTGGGGGCTTTCAAATTCTCTTTTCAGGAAAACCAAATACACACGGATAAACATACATGCGAAACTAAACTACACACTCTGAGCATCCTCATACCTGCAGTGAGGTGATAGAGGCTGCATGTCCCTCCAGGACGGCCAAAGGGGCGCAGGTCTGTAAGCACCACACTCTGATAGTCTTGTCACAGGACCCGGCTGCAATCATGGTGTTCTCGTAGCTGACGGCCATGTCGGAGATCTCAGCGGCGTGGCCACGCAGCGTCGCCAGCAGGCGGCCATCATCTGTTCCCCAGATCTTAACAAGGCAGTCGTCTGAGCCCTGGAAAATAAATAAAGCAATATGGCGTGAGTGAAGACTAGTGTTTTATATAGTTTGAGAAGAGGCATGTGTGCCTCCAAGGCACACTTCTAGTAAGACAAATTAAACATGTCAAGTTCAAAAAGATTTTAAAATATATCTGGGCATACTGGAGCCGCAGACTGTCAGCAAATTGGCAAATTTAGAAACACACACACACACACAAACAGAAGATATGAGGTTATTTAGATACAAAAATAGAGGTGACAAATCTGCAGTGAACCAGAAGTAACAATGAACATTTCAAGGCCCTAGATTGTCATCTGCACAAGATGTTAGTAGCATGTCTTTACAAACATGCTACTAATTATTAACAGTAAAGGAAATATGTGAACACTGCTGCTGCCACGTAAACACCTTCACAAGATTATCTTAGGCTATCTAAATTCAAATTACAGACACAGTTAGAGTAAGCATTGCCCAATTAACATGCAGTTGTTACTGTGGTGTGAATACATTAGTTGGATTGTGTTTGAATACACACCTGTAAGAACCCAAAGTTCAGATTCAAAGATGCATTTCTTTTTTGTAACCAGTGTTTAATAGTTTTCTTTTATCAGTACAAATAGCAAGGACAAACAATGTCTCGAACACTGTCCACCCCACTTTCCCAGACCCTTCCCAATAGCACAAAAACAGGACATAAAACTGACAATAATGTCTAACAAGTAAAACAAAGTAGCAGCACCAAAAAAGGTGTACACTCCAGTACGCTCATTGCCATTCTTGTCTCAGAGGTGATGCTTACGTGTATCACTTTTAAGAAAGTATAATGTTTCCTTATGTTAGGATACCTCTAACACTTGCACTTCTGAAGAATTAAATACCATTACATGATGCCATTTCATGAACCCATTCTATGATACTTGGCCTTTTGTTTGTGGTTGTTGTTTTCTGCCAGTAAAGAGCAGAACGCCATTTAGCTTGCAGGATACACATATCTGTAAGTGTATATTCCTTCTTCCTTAGTTTGAAGTTTGAAGGGTACAAATTCAAAATGTAAATCTTAGAATCAAGAGGGACCTCTACAGAAGTGATCCCGTCACAAATCCATTATTTTACTACGTTTACAAATACTATGATACAGGGCTCCTTAATATTTGTTACACTTGTGTCTGGTATATTGTTGTCAAAGTGGTGTAATTTAACTGGTATATATATATATATATATATATAAATAAATTATATTATTTCCAGATTCTGAGCATCTTCACAAACTGTGCTCCAATCCTCCAATGTTATTTCCTCATCCAGATCTTTCCTCCATGCTTTACTATGACCTGCTACTCCAGTGAGCAGAGGAGCAGAATGTCATCGTTTCTGCCTTGTGTAAATAAAGCTGCGTAATTGCAGGTACTTAAAGAAACTGTTTTCTTGGAATGCCGAATCTTTCTGTTATCCCCTGAAATGACATGAGCTTCCCCTCTCTGTGTAAGTCGCCAATTTTCCTCAGTCCCCTCTCCGCTCATTTACGAAAAGCCCCCCATCTGCTCTTCCAGGTTTATAAAGATGCATTTCTATTCAACAAAGAGCAGCTTGGCTGTCAGTGGTAGAAAATGAAATTAAATAAAACATAAAAACAATTAGTACACTAACTACTGATAATTCTTGGTCTTTTATATTCTAATGCCTTCTATTGGCTAAACTCAAGTGTACATTAAGCCGATCATTACACAAATCATATAAATTCGGGTTATTGGGGAAATCAGGGTCCTGCAACCATGTAAACTATGACCTTTATCTGGTGATTTACAATGATGGGGTTACAGTGTGTAGGTAAGCATATTGAATGTCAGTAAGCCATTAAACCAGAAGCAACAGGACGAAACAGATACACTGACTCACTACCGGACAGTTCAGACCTAAAATTTGTCACACCACAGTGAGATAGACTGGCCTGCTCTGGGAGTTCTCCTCATTCCGGCTTAAGTACAACTTCACCAAAGAAGATAGAGTACTCTCAAACGACAGAGAAACACTACTGTGCATTGGCTGGGGCTTCACTAAGACGTAACCAGATGTCTCATTTTGATAAAAGCTGTTGTGTGTTTCTAGCAAAAAGGCAATTTTAGAGGGAAAGCCCTCTTAGTAGCATACTTATTATTAAGTATTAAATGAAGTAAAAACAATGCAAGCAAAGAAAGGAACATAAAAGCAATGAAAAGGCCATAATAATAACTAATCCATAAAGTCAAGCCCATAAGAATTTTTGTAGCCTAGAGGCAGCTTCACAGTCTTTAGTCTGGATTGAAAATACATGATCAAGACCCTTAATCAAGACATACAGCCTACAGGGACACTAGTGAGAATTTCTGGCTGTGATCCAGCTTGTAAGGGGTTAAAGGCTTTGTGATTCAACATGGTGCCAGACCCTTCTGTGCCTTGATTACGATCTCAAAATAATTTTTAAAACCAACACGTAACCACTGTCAAGATGCAAAAACTAGTTTGAGTCTGTACGAGGTGGAAATAAAGGAGCGACTAATAAAGAAGACAGAAATACACACAGAAGCACATCAGTAAATGAGGAGGGTTATGGATGAGCACAATGTAATCTCAGAAGTGTACAAAGAAAGTACATTTGCAAAAGGTGATCACACAATTTTTCTAACCTGACAAGTTTGCGTATGAAAGCGACTGATTTCATTCCACTTAGTTAGTTACAGAACATGCCGTAACATCCATCCTTTTTGATCTGCAAAGTATTTTATAGGACAGGCCACGCTATCAGTATCAGCATAGACTTAGGAGGAAATGTGAGATGAAAACACCAACCCCCTCCTTTGAATAAATCATAATCACTCACTCCATCATCAGTGGAACAGAGTCTGACTGGAGCTGTTATTTTGTTTGGACTGATCCAAACAGCAAGCGTCCCCTTAGTGATTTAGACACAGCTCAAGGACAAATTACGGCTGTGGCAAGATGGACGAAAAACTGATACACCCAAATGAGAGTCAGGCCTGAAGGGTGAACACTCAACACAAACTTTCCTTGTTGCTATAGATGTTAAGTTATGTTAACAAGCGTCCCAAACAATGCATACCATGCAAGTCTAATTTGTGCCGTGATAATAATGAACATGCAACCGCTTCTAAAGCTAAATCACACAAATCAATACGGCTGTTTACCAATCAATTGTTTAACCAGTGTACATGCACTTGCTCACTGATCACAAAGGATCACAGTGAATGTTTAGGCTAAATAAAATAGTCAATAATTAATCAATCTGCCTTCCACTGCAGCAAAGTCTGACTGAAGACGACTGAAGAGATCCAAAAATAAGAAAATATATAAATAAAAATGATCTTGTGATGAAAGGAGACAGCAAGAGAGAGAGAGAGAAAGGGAGAGAAAGAGAAAGAGAGAACGAGCAGAGGGAAAAAGGGAGAGAGAGTGAGGGAGACCAAGAACGAATTTTAATTCTGGCACTTAGCCAGTGCCTCAGAGGAAACATTTTCACCAGTTATGATGAGAAATAGAAGGAAAAGAGGGGGGGAGAAGAGAGGAGAGAGGGAGGGAGAGAAAGGAACAAAGGAGGGGCAGCGCAGGATGAGGGACGGGCAGAGAGAAAGAAAGAGAGAGAAATGGAGCAAATGCAGGGAATGTAAGAACGGTGGAAAGAGAGATAAAAGGAGAAGAGAGACAGGGAGTCAATCTAAACCCCCCCCCCACCTCCTCTCAGCAGCCAGCCATTTTTAGAGATTTAAGAAGTGAAAGCTGAAAATGGTGTATAGCAGCAGGCAGTGTTTGACTCAAGGATCCAAACAGAAGGATGAAAACATTAAATCAACATCATCTCATTGTTCGCTCAATATTTAACACTTCACCCCCACGCTGTATCTCTAAAGCAACCACATGGGGAAGGAAGCTAACGCAGCACATGTATACAAGGGGCATCCAGAGGGTAAAGGTCAACTTCCCTCTTTTTGAGAAACCATGGGAATTCCCTTATTCCCCTTCTTGAAAATACAAATATTATCCTAAAGATGTGTGAGCTTGCTCCCCTACAGGCTGAATTTGGCTATAGCTGTGAGTCATTCAGTAAAAGCGGCCCACCACAGTAAGGTAAACAGCAATTACCTCCTACCAGAACTGTTACAACAGGGAATACAGACGCTTGGTCAGCTTGGTAAGCAACAGACAGCTTGTAACAATCAAACACATACACAGCACACAAGAGGTGACTCTAAACAAATACTCCAGCGCACAACAACGTCAATGAAATCACTTTGAATGGGCTCCTTAAAAACCAATACACATACACACACACACACACACAGAGAGGTGTCACAGAAGGTGAGACATATCCCAGCTGAGGTCAACACACCACGAAACCACACACGTGCACTCAAACGCTGCAGCGTTTACCGTGAAGATGCGTCGTCCCGTCCTGTCGAAGGTGACGCAGTACACGGACGACAGGTGTCCCAGGATCCTCTTGTGCATCTTCATGTGCTGGTACACGGCTGTGGGCAACAGCTGCCGGAGACGGTAGGAGCCGTTCAGTCGACGGCTGAAGCTCGTCTCGACTGGACGCCAAAGAAAAGATACACACCAGTGAGCAAGTGAATGTGTGTGACAAGAAATCAGCAGCAAATCAGTGAAAAAAGTGACTTTTAAGAACATGAAAAGAGGCCACAAGTCTGTCCCATGTGCAGAAATACAGATCAATAATAACACAGCTGTCAAATGTTGCTGGTATTTAAGACCATGACACAGTATAGTATGTAATACCTGACTCATACACTGAATACCAAAGACACAAACAAAGACTAAAAATGGTTGAATGAAAAAGTTTTCCTTACCAATATTAGGGGGGCTCCCATAGATAATAGGCGGCTCGGGTGGTCGGCCACAGTGTAGTGCAGCCAGCGCTGAGCCCTTCCACACAACATGCTTGCAGCCTGAAGAAAGATGAACACAAAAGAGACGCATAAACACGCACATTACACAGCTTTTGTCATGACTAGTCTATGTGAGCCGTTGTTCTGTACGCATGCACTTAAATCTGCATAAGCGCATGGAAGTATGTATTTAGATGACAGAAACGTAATACATTTGTTGCCTGAGTGGGGGTGTTTGCATACACATAAAGGTAGCCCATGTGCTACACCATGTACTTTATATCCACTCACTCTTGGTGGTGCGGAGGAGATTCTGCCTGCCGGCCCCCAGCAGGCTGGTGAGTCCAGGCACGCTGGCAGGGACCTCCCTTTCCAGCAGCGGACAAACTCTGGAGCAGACCTGCAGCAGGTGGTCTGCACTGATGTGCCGGTATAGCTTCACCTGAACACACACACACACACACACACACACACACACACTTAGATCAGCTTGTAGTCAGACTAGTAAATGACAAAATAACCAGTCAGAGGGGAGAACTTAAAAAAGAACTTAAAAAGGAGACTGAAATAAATGTGTTCAAGTCACTTTATTGCTAAATGTTGATGTGTATGTCATACTAGCTCTACATTTTTTGTTGCTCAGCCTGCAGTTATTCTGATTAATTTATTACACCAAAAACTAACTAATAATATAAAGAAAAAACATTTCAGTAGGTTGTACTCTATTAAATAAAAAGGGAATAATTAAGTATTTACGAGCGACTATGGCTTTGTTCTTTGGTTTGAGTCCATTTAGTTTCCATCTCAGAAAAAAAAATATATTTTGAGCAGAATTAGGAGACAAGGTCACTATTCCAAATACCTGTGGGTTTTCTGAGAATTTAAAAGATAAAAGCACCCAACTGAACAGGACGTAGTAAGGACAAAATAAACAAAATGTCCTTTTTTACTGAGGGACATTCACTCAACCGTCGCAAAACAAAATTTCAAATACATGACAAGCACTCTGACAAAATTATAAATCATTAAATATTTATATCACAAAATGTAAAAAAGCTGAAATTGCATCTGCAACTACATTAATGCTAAAATCCAGTACATTTTTTGCCTTGATGCAGTTCACATGCAGTATCCTAACAGCAGAGAAGGGGGGTGTGGCATGCAACATAAGCATGAAAGCCACACTCTCATAAACACAGTGTGTCTGTGACTCCACTGACACATGAAGACACTCCTGCATGGCCTACCTCCGAAGAGACGCACACGCCTGAATGACTGAACTATCAGCGATACACCACAGGATAGAGAGGAGAGGAGAAGAGAGAGAGAGAGAGAGAGAGAGAGAAAACATGCAGCATGCAGCACTGTGTTTATTTCAGGATGCAGGGTTTATTTTAAATGTATTCATTTTAAATCAGACATGCAGTAATCAGCTTTGTTTCAGACACATCTGATTTAAATATCTGAACGGGGTCAAATAAGCCTGAAATTAAACAATTAATGCACTCACACACACACACATATATATTCTCTGTCTCGGTGACACACACACACACACACACACACACACACACACAATTAATGACCCCTTAATTGCTTTCACATCCTTGCTGGTTCAGAGACGTGATCAGTGTTTCTAAGCACATATCAGCTCACAATCCCCCGCTCAGGTACACACAGAGCCACGACACACACAGAGCCACTACACACACACACACACACAACGGAGTGATGTGTATTAACAATTTGCTCCATTTTACTTGCTTCATAAGGGTAATGGATAACACTCCAGCAGTCACTCACAACAGCACCACCAGGAAGCACATGGCCCTATACACATGACTGCAAGGGACCCTCTGTACAATTATCACCTCACACCTCAACACACGGTTCAAAAATCAATAAAAATCCCTTATTCGAGACATCATCCTCTTTAATAT